AATCACGGCTCTCCAGGTTAGAAAAAGCAGCATAACTCTGGCTGGAGTTATGACATGGTTGTATAAACTTACGGAAGTTAGAAAACGGAAACAAAAGTTTCTCCAATCACTAGAACAATGCAGCATCTGAAGAAAAATAAGAGGAATTACTTCTGGCTCCTCAACCTACCAATTGCCATGGAACGTTGTGGCAGCCAAACACATAAACAGCTTTCAGAAAACCATCAATTCTGCTTCTTGTAATTCTATAATTCTTTCAACAACGCACTCAGTACACTGCCCAACCCTAGCCACTTTTTAAGTAACCTTCACCTTCACTATTCCCTTAAACAGTGTTATACATGCTCATGCACAGGTGACATTTTGTAAGACACTGAACACATCTATTCAACATCTGTTAGGGTTTTACCTGAAAAAAAACCCAAGTTTATATAGAAAGTTATACAGAAGTTTATATAAGCAGTCTAATTTTAATTGGTAAAATATTCAAAAACTTCAAAATTCCATTTACATCAGTGAAGCATTCGTGCTTGATTTCATAAATCAATTCATTTTTCATTCAGATTCACAAGATCAATAGGTTATGTGACAGGTACAGCAATGATGAATCCCAACGTGTATGAATTAAAAGATCTACTTTAAAGATGTAATAGTATTTCTAGAATGACATTATTGCATATCTAGCACAATCAGTTTGCTGAATTGCAAAGCAATTGAAAAGCAAACTGGCAAAAACACTGCATGCAGATGATTGATAAACCCAAACAATAAAACCCCATACAGGCCTTACCTAGCTGTTTCTCTCGTTCTTCTCTCCGTTCTCTAGCAAGCCGTTGCCTGTCATCAACCTTTAGTACTGTTGGATGATCTACAAATGGAGGGAGGGAGGGGAAATATATTAGGCATATAGCATAAAATCAAATAGTTCCATAGTCAAGCTTTTAGGAGAATGACCATTAAACAACTCTAGTCTATTTTAACAGTAGAATGACATTTCCAGAAATCCATCTTATTAAAAAAGAAAAAAAAAAAAGAATCAACTGAAAAAATACAATTGCATTCTGATTATCAAGATGCAAAACACTTCCAAAGAATGGACGAAGCTGTAACTCTGAATTCCAAGCAAGACTAATGCCTGTGAAAACCGGGGAAGAAGTTCTGTTTCGTTTCCAAGCCCATAAGAACTTGATTGCTTAAGAGCATTTGGACAAAATACTTTCTATTATTCCATAACCGCTCTCCAAAATACATCCAAAGGAAATTCCATTACAACGCAGCTCTCTCTTCTCACCAGTATTGCCTCAAAAAAACCAGTAAGCCCTACATCATGAGGCTGAAGCAACTTTTTACCAAGAAAAACTGGCTGGATCAAAAGACTGTAGCAGTCTGATTGACCTTCTGAAAATAGCATGACATTGATCTCCACAGATGTTTGTGTGCGCATGTGTTAAAAGCTCTGGCAAATACGTTCAGACAGTGCCTCACTTGCACGGACTGGTATAATATCATGAAAGTAAGATAATTCCCTCAACTGTCCTTGGAGATTGAAAGTTAGCTATGTGACTTTTTCAAAATATCTGCAACTGACCCCTTGGATCACAGAAATAAGACAATGGATAATATAAAAAAATCTGTATCAGAGTCCAGGTTTGACTATAAAAATTCAGGCTTGGTTGGAAAAACATCACTTGCTCCATGAGTTCTCTGGAAGATAACAAAATGCTAAACAGCTAGCATCCCACTTCCAGCCTCAGCAGTGGAGCTGTTCCAGACAAAAAGGGACCAAAACCCAACTTACCAATTCATCTCAGCATGCTGCCAAAACCAATTTCCTGCTCATCCTTAGCCTGTTCTGTTAAACCTGGAAAGCTGCTAATTTTATGCTTTTTTTCACTAGCACTGAAAAAGATTGCTTTGAATAAAAACAGAAGTAAAAAAAACCCCAAAACATAGAAAAATCAAAAAGATTGCTGGGTATAAAGAAATGGTCCTATTTATTTTAATACTGAGGGAAACTCAGTTTTTAAATATTTTAAGATAAAGAACTACCTATAATACTGTCACTATGGAAGTACACATAAAACCAAAATAACGGTTCCTTTTTGCTATTCAGTGTGAATATACAAGTAAGCAATTTGTATAAACATGTAAAGTCAGCCTATTTGTGTACAGACTGCGTACCTATGAAAAAAGTTACCAGCAAAGCAATACAATAGGTCATAAAAATGAGGTTATAAATATCTGCAAAAAGAAATCCCTGAAATGTTAGGCAGATTTTAAATAGTTATGTGAATTAGACAAAAAAATCAGCAATGCACACTTCATACTCTGAAAGAAGTTTCTGCATCAGGACGACAGGATTTCTTGGATGAATGAGTTCGCTGACAACTAGCTTCAGTTTAAGCATTCTTTAACCCTTCTCAGTGAAAAACTGTGATCTCAACAATGGTCGGAGACAGCAGCCCCAATTAACTGCATTAACAGCAATGCAAAGAGCTCCAAGGGGAAGATCTGTTGTGTAGCTGGTAGGAAAAACAACATTCAAACCTGATAGCCCCAATGAGAGGTGCAACAAGTGAACAAGTCATCAGTGAAGACAAAGGTAATCCACCACCCAGTTACAGAGCAAAGCTTTAATGCTGGTTGAGTAACACATAGTGCTGCATTGAAGAAATTCTGGCTAGCCACCCCACTGCAGAGACTTGCGCAGCGCATGGTGCAGGTTGACATTTGGCTGATGTTAAGAAGTGTGCTGACTTGCACGCAGTCTCTTCAGCATGCAGCCATAGGTCAAAAGGGTAATAATATTCCTTCTCTCTTGTGGCTGGCACGTGGGAGTCACAAAACATGGATTTCTGTAGCATGAGTAATTAGTGCTAGTGGAATAATGCACACCTAGTATGAATTCCCCTGAAAACAAGGATTCCCTTCAAGGGCTGTCAGCAAAGTCAATGTAACATTGAGTTGACAGAGGATGATGAGACGCTGGGGAATAACTTAAAATCTCACTTCTTTCAGAATATACTATTCTCCTCACAGGTTTGGTGGTTTTAGTCAGTTTTTTTTTTTCCCCCCGTTCTTGAAAGGAGAGATTTCTCTATCTGGGAGAAGCAGCAATTCTTGAAAGAGGGTTATATGGACAGCCAAACCAGAGGTTTCCCTTAAGAATTCCTAATTATAAGCAATGGAAGGAATAAAATAAATTTTTAAAACTTCCCTCTGCCATTCTGTTTGAAGCTATCCAATTATTTTTTCTCTATCACACACCTGGTAGTGTTCACATGCACAGACACACACAGCCCCTCTCCCAACAGCTCAGGATGTTCGAGCAATTCTAAAGAGTTCACATTAAGTCGCAGGCTATGCAGAGTGTAAGTACGCCTTCAGTAACAAGCTACTTTGCATACATTTGGGATCACAAAGAGCTAAATCAATATTGGCACAGAGATGGGGACAACACCTTTGTAGCAGACCAGCATTGTCTTTGCTCTACTAGAAGGTGCAGTACGTATTACTAGTGCGAATCTTACTGTTAATTAAAATGTCTTTTCTAAGCCTTCAAAATGATCCTTCATAGTTTGGCTACAAGTCCAACCTCCAACAACTGCATTCTGAATCCAGCTGACCTGCCGACACCCCCAGTGCATAGCTTTGATAGCTTCAAATACCGGCAAAGCAAGAAAGTTCACTAGGCCTACTCCCCTCTTCACTTCTCACGTCTCTGCTCATTAACAACCCGCCAGGTAAATACCTGGGGGCCTGGCATTTCTTCTTGTTCCATAGGAATGCCAGGACAAACACACTTAGCGTTCTCTCTCACTCATATTCATCATCAGGCAATAACTTTAGTTTGTTGCAGCAGGAGACAGGAAACACGTCATTTGCAACAAATCCTGTAAGAATTCTTCAATTCTTACAAAAACAATTGGTAACTGGGCACATGCAAAGCCTTGCTAAGAACACTCCAGTGAGACCCACGTGCTGCTGTAGAAGCTGGAGTCTGATTGTGATGCAGTACATGTTCAGCAACAGATTTCACTGTGCTTACATAACATACAAATGTTTAATATTACGCTCTAGAGGGATGTTTGGAGATTAAATAAGCCATAGTTCTATAAAGGGGAAAACAATCTTGTACCTATTGCTGGAAATTAAGCCTCTAAACTATATATGGAACCAGGACTTTTCCCACAAATTTACAACACTTACTTTGAGTTCAAAATTATTTTTAAGAATTTACTAGTTCATTTAAAGAACTTAGCAGCCATAAATGGTATCTCACAAAAATTCAGCACTGAAATGCCAGTCAGTTTTGGTCCCTAATTATATTAGCAAAAGGAAAAGGAAAGCTTTTCAAGTTTTCTATGCAATTAATACTCACTAAACTCTTAAGTAGAGTTGACATTTGCAGAAATTAAGTTGTAATTTTGCTAAATTAATAACTGTCATATGTACTTATTACATATGGTCAGTTTCTGTGGCTCAGGCAACTATCAGCTTCTCTCAGTGTAATTTCAAAAGTCAGATTTCTACTATTCTTCTTTTCCATCTATAACCCTCTTAATCTCTTCTCATAAATGGCTGCTTTTCTTCTGCCCTTGGCTCCTAAGGTGCTAATTTCTTGTACTAAAGAAACTGAAAGGGCTATCAAATGGAAAACAACAGTCAGGCTGTATGTTAGTTCACAGGGGTGCTGCAGGGAGAAACACATGTAAGCCACAGCATTATTTGAAAAGATGCACTACTTGGATCTCAAATTCTCTTCTCTTTGTCTAGGTCCCTTTTCACTGCCATGCACACATTTGGAGTTGCCTTGGACTCCGAATATTTGTTTAATATTTGTTCAGCTCATAGACACCTTCCAGACAATAATAACATTGTTTATAGTGATAGCTGTCACTCTTGCTGCAAACTCTTTAGTTTTTAACCAAAACATTTTGACACAACATTCACATGCAGCCTAAAGAAAACAACAAGAAGGAACAAACAAACAACAAGTAAACCATCGCTCCTAGGAACTCTCTTCAACATGGACTTTAAGTAGCTGGGTGCAGAGCTAAACCCCACACTAGTGCCTGTGCCCTCCCTCACTCCAGCCCCAGGAATTTTGCGTTCTTTTCTACACACCAGCATAGATGAAGGTAATATAGGAGCAGCTTGGACACTCTCCTGAGAAATAAAAACTGAGATTAAACTGCTGAAGGCCAAAGTGGATATTGAACACTGCCCAACGCCAACATTTATGGCTTTGCTGTGGAAGTGGGTAATGCTACCTCCATCCTCTCTTCTTTTTCGCATTGGCTTTCTGATTGACAGCAGCTGTGAAAGCTGCCCCTTGTGACGGATCCAGCGCTGCCTGGCAGAGCATGGGAGGTGTGATGTGAACATGGGCAGCACTGGTGATCGCTTCCCTCTGGGCATGTAGGCCAAGGGTACACAATTCAGGCAGAGAGAAGAGCCTGTCAGTACCAAACAGCCACTGAGCTGCCAAGCCATCAAGGAGTTGAACAGAGAGGGCTTGCAGTGTGCCGAGTCCCCGGCAACACAGGCACCTATGCTTTCTCAGGCACCTGAACAAGATCATTATTAAATACATATTTTAAGCTTGAGTAACTGAATTGCAATACAGGCAGAACTTAATTTAAGTGCTCTTCTGGATCTTGGTCTAAGCATGCAAGAGGAACAGACACATGGCATCAAGGACTACATTAAGTATTTTAGTATACAGACTTTCAACCGCGTAAGTGAACAGTGAATTAAATACACAAAACGCACCAGTCAGGTATGGTGTGGTAAAGACAAACATCTGCCCACTACATAAAGTATAGTACAGATTATGGCATGCTTTGTGATAAATGAATAAATGTCTGAACAGAAGCAAATTTATATAAGCTGTAGATGTTTGCCTAAAGCAGATAATTCTCATGCAAGCACAGATACAAGTATAGTGGTTTCTGTTGCCTTATCTCACTTCCCAACCTTGATTCCTAAGCCATGCTAAACCAAAAGCACATTTTTTTCGGTTTTGCTTCCTTGCAAACAGAGATTCCAGCCTAACTATGAACAGTCACTGATACCAGTTTTGACTGAACCAGTAAGAGATGTATAAGAGGATCAAACATTTTAAAAGTTCCTAAGACAGTTGTTTTTCATATAACATTGAGGCAAACAGCCTTATAACATGAAGCATGTGAAATGGTGTACCTGGCTTAGTTCCAGTGTTGCTTTGTCCTGAAGTGACTTTCTTGTCTTGTATTTTAGAACCTTCAGCTGCTAAAATAAGAAAGAAAAGGAAAGAGATTAAGTAACCATATTATCAAAGAACTCAATCTGTTTGCTATAAAGCAACTTAACTATCACTGAACTACCTTTAAAATCAGATTGTTCTGAAATACCACTTTAATATCATAGAATCATAGAATGGCATAGGCTGGAAGGGACCTTAGAGATCATCTAGTCCAACCTCCCTGTTAATATCATTTTACACCATTTTGCATAGAAAACACCTTGAGAGTCACACAGAAAACACTGAAGCCACAAGTTCCCCATTCGAGTTGAAGAAAGCCACAAGAAGACTCCATTTGAACAATGTTGTTTTTAATAAGACATATGATTTTTCTTCCATGCTATGCTAATACTATATATGCAAGTAATTTTTCCTCCTCCTTCTCAGTGATGCTTTGGAAACGACTACCTCCAAGGAAAAGCAGCCTTTGATTTTTTTAATTTTTTTTTAATTTCCCTTAGATGAAATTTCCATACTGATAGAAGTTAAATTAGTGGAAGTAACAGAATGAAACTACAGAGTGACTTTGAAGAAGCAGACATTGGAATATGTTGCAATGTTTGGGTGCAATGAGGAAACTGTGTTGCTAAAGATGACTTGCAGATCCTAGATTTCTAAAGGTATGGTACAAGATACTGGTAAAACCGGCACAGATGCTTTATAAATTACTAACACACCCATTATGCAAAACGGGAGGGCAATTTATGACCTGAACGAAATCTAACAGAGGAGATATTCCCATTATTTCAAATAGACTTTTGATCAGTCCCTGTCGGTCTAGAAAGGTAATTTTGGGGCTTTAAATACCCTTTCAACAACTCGTTATAAAGAAAAACTGAAAGATTCATTATTATACTTCAAATTACAACCATACTCTTGGCTCAGCATCTATTTGTAATTAAAAGCCAAGCCAGGAAATTAGATGACATCATTTTCTCAGCTTATTACTCATCTTCAGCAGCTCCACTATAAGAGTGCTTGAATCCAGAACACAGCGTTCTGGGAAGAGTCTAAAGACAGACCGTAAGAATTCTAAGAACGCTTCCACAAACAGCGTGAAAGTATTTGCAAGCAAGGACAGTTACATCAGTAAAGCCTAGAGGAGAAAAAACACATACAATTCATTATTAAAATATGACTAGAAATCAAAGTTGGAAAAAAATTATTACTCCTGTTTTAAAAGTTAAACAAGCAATACTGTAGTAGATCCACTTTAGAAAACATAATTTCTAGAGTTTTTTTCAGAAGGCTCCAAGCAATTTCCTCTGCTTGTCAGCTTTAACAATATATACTCAGGCCTTAGTGCCTCAGTGAGTTCATTACCTTCATGGCCTGACAAAAATTTGTTTTCCCTTTACCTCATTCCACATGCCTGTTTCAGGATGCAAAGGATAAAAGGTAGCAGGAGGAGCCTACATGATACTTACTGTACCCTTTTAGCAGATGAGGGAAACAGAGAAATAGAATTGATCAAATCTTTAGTGTTCAAGGGCAGTGTTTTGCTGAGAGTAACATTCAAAAATCATACCATCTTACAAAAAATATGATGTATGAAATTTTTAATAATTGTAAAAAAATAAGACACTCCCTTCCCTGACAATTGTATTAAGTCTCTTGTGATCAACAGAAGTAACTACTATTGAACATTGATTCCAAAATTGTCATGCCTTAAAGGCAGCTGAACAAAAGATTTTAGTATTTAGCCATTTTAAAGGCCTCATACAAAGGAACAGTTTGACCAATAGGTAGAGGGACTGATTTTTGGTAAGATAATCTGAGCAACACTGAACACTAGCACCTCCAGGCAAGATGTAGGATCCACCATTATCAAAACTCATACTTTCTCCTCTCAGTGTTCCAGATGGGTGGCATTAAGTCTGAAAAAGTGTTTTATTCATCTGAGTAAGTGCATTTAAACTCTTTATATCTTACAAACTTGTTATATCTTAACTACTACCTTAACTGAGTGGTGGGAGGAGGTCGATAGAGACTTTCTTCCTGCCTGAATCAGCCATTTAGAACATTCTCAGAAAAAGTCCTGCTGTAATACATGGGAAACCTACATCATGATTCCCATTAGCCTGTCCTAGGGCATCATATAAAAGAAGAAACTGTCATAATAGAGTAATATAAGTTATAATAGTTTCTTATCATTAGTGAGAGCAATGATGTTCCAAGAGCTTCAACACAAGTTTCTTCACATCTCTCATACAGCGTATGTGAATTATTTTCCTCAAGCCCTGGGATTATGCAATACTCCCTTAACCATGGTGTAAACGCCATCCAGATAATACGCTTATAAATGAGCCTAGGTACACAGAGTAATACTTCTTTTTTTTCCATATTTCCTTTTGCCTGACATTTCCTCAGAATATTTTGTGGCACAGTTTGAGTACACATTCATATGACCGCTCATATGACAAGCAATGAAGAAAAGAACAGATGGCACAACGATGAATTTTAGTGCTGTTGAATATCAAATAAGAATTGGCACAAGTATCTAGTGACTAGCGTAGGTGTGCTCCCACATAAAATGCCTCTTGCTCTAAGATACAAACAGATTAATCAGACAACTAAACATCTAAAATCTAAACCTAAATATTGACAACACTACTTCCAGAAAGAATCAGTAAGCTAACACATGCCAACAGAGACATAATTCAACTAATGCATACTTGCTCTGCTGCTTATTTTGAACCACTACCTTTAAATGGAGGGAATAAAAGTTGCATAAAGTGTTAGAAATAAGAGGGTATTTTTCTCTGAAGCATTCTGGAAACTTAAAATGCTGAAGACAGCCTGAGTAGCGTACATATACCGGGGAAGACAATCAAAGAACCTGATGGTTGAGGCTGGAAGGGATCTCTGGAGATCGTTTAGTCCATCCCCTCTCCTCAAAAAGTGGGGTTGCCTTGAGCAGTCCATGTCCAGTTGGGTTTTGACTATCTCTAGGATGGAGATTCCACAACGGCTCTGAGCAACCTGTGCCAGTCTTTGACCACTATTTGCAACAGACAAGTTTTTCTTATGTCTGAAAAGTATGCCCTATATTGCAGTTTTGTGCCCATCATCATCACAGAATCATAGAATGGCCTAGGCTGGAAGGGACATTAGAGATCATCTAGTCCAACCTCCCTGTTTTGGGCAGGGACGCCACCTCTCGACTAGACCAGGCAACACATGGGGACCGAGCAGGAATCGAACCCACGACCTCGGTGTTGGTCCTTGTTGCCAGCACCGCGCTCAAACCACTGAGCTAACAGGCCCCCTAAAACAATACCAGTATTGGCGCTCTCTCGAGCTTTTGCCAACTACAAGCACAGAATCTGTGGCACAGCCAGATCTATTGAGCCTAAATCCATCGGGGGTTAACTGTGCTGCCACTGTTTACCCCTATCACCTCCTGTCTTGTCACTGTGAGTCATGAAGAGGAATCTGGCTCTGATTTTTAGTCCACCCCATCAGGTATATTCTGATATGTAGTTCTTCTGATATGTTTTTTTTTCCCCTAGAGTTTTTGATGTTGAACTGAAATGCTAAGTGATTTGTCCAGAGCCATAAAAGAACCACACTTCCCACCCATCTCAACTGAAGTAGAGTTCATGTGGGGAAACACTCCACCCCGATCTTCCACTGATCGCAAAAGCTGCGAAGAGCTGCACCACCCCACCTTCACTTCGCCAGGACTTGGTTTCAGTGAATGGTCTTCCAAGACCCATCTGTAAAACATCAGTCCTCTTGGATAACACTTGCAGATAAAGTTAGATGAAAAACTTTGTCTAAGCAGGGCCCACGTGAGCTTAAAAATACGTGACACTACCTACCTACCCAGTGCATGGACCTCAGAGACTGCATAGAAAATCACCCACTGACTGAAGTGCTGACAGAATATAAACCTTATTTTCCTTCTAAAAAATCAAAGCAACACTGTATTATTGCAGTTGGAAGCAACCCCTCCCCCTTTTTTTTAAGGATAAAAGGATATATTTTAAAATTAAAAGTAATTTTAAAATTGAGCTGGATTATCCATCTTACTTGAGTTATTCCTGTTAAGTGCTCAGTGACTGGGTAGCAACTGATGGCAATAGAGCATTGGCCTGATTGCTCTGAACTTACTATTTTTATTGATTAAATAAATATCCCTACTACTATATAATCATGCCTTTATGCTCAATGTTATCTAACATGTTGTCCAAAGTCACTGATGTAAAAATCTGCATCAGGTCACTACAGGCTATTGAAACTCCAGTTCATCCTGAGATGAACTTTGACAAAGCTGCTTCAAACTTGCGGAAAAATCTGCTCCAGCTGCCAGAAATACAGAATCCTTAAAAAGTCAAATACTTTCTCTCCTCAGTTTTCCCTCCCTCCTTTCACCACATACTTCTCTAGAGTTGGTTACACAGGTCTGCACAAAATGCCTAACTTCAAGTATGTAAAGGTAAATTTAACTAAGCAATAAAAGCCCAGACATACTAAAAATGCTCATCTAGCAGATAATTTTAAGATATGTGCTAACAATAATTGCTGAAAAGGATAGCACAGTATAGAATTTCTATTTTAAGGTAGATTTGGGGGATTAAAATGCTAGTGTGAAACAATACTGTGAACAATACATTCCTTTGGCAATACAAGTTCAATATGTGAGTTAACATGGATTTTGCATTGTCTATATATGTGAGTACATACATATCAAGTATCTAACGGAATCACAGAAAACACTGGAAATAATCAAACCTAAATTATTGTAGCTTCATTTTGTAATAGTAAAGAAAGAAACGTGTCACATGAAATCTTATTGTGTTAGGTCACACAACTGTGAACTTAGAAGTCAGATCTGCAAAATAACCTGGAGGACAACACCACCAAAGCTGCCATTCTGACACGTGCTCCACATCGGTGTATTTTGGTCTCTTAAGGATGCAGCATGGTCTATAACAAGATCTTGAGTAGGAATCAAAAGACATTTAGCCAGTTAGCTCCCCTC